TTTTCTTGCGTTTTTTTCGTTACGTAAAATTTCCAGCATTCACAATAAAACATGATTATGATTATGATAGTAATGACAGAAAAAAGGATGATAATGACAATGATAATAGTAATAATAATGATAATATAATGATAATAACAACAATGGAAATAGTAATAATGTTAATGATGAAGATGAAAATTATAGTAATAATGATAATGATAATGGTGATGATAATTAAAACAATAATGATTATAGTAATAATGATGATAATAATAACAATAGTAATGATAATGGCATTTATGATAGTAATAGTGATAGTAACAATAATAATGCTAATGATAATAATAACGAAATTACTATTACTACTACTAATGATAATGAGAATAATAGTAACAATGATGATAATTGTAATAGTAGTAGTAATGATGATGATAATGATAATAATAAAAATAATAATGGTAATAGTGATAATAATGATATTGATAGTAATAGAAAAATAAAAATGGATAACAATAATAATAACAATTCAATGATAATGGTAACAACAACAGCAATAATGATAGTAGTAGTAGTTGTTGTTGTTGTAGCAGTAGTAAAGGTAATGATTATAATAATAGTAATGATAATAATAATAACAACAATAAAAACAACAACAACAGCAATAGTAATAATAATAACAATGATGGCAATGATAATAATGATGATGATGATGATGATAATAATAATATTAATAATAATAATAATAATAATAATAATAATAATAATAATAATAATAATAATAATAATAATAATAATAATAATAATAATAATAATAAATATATATAATAATAATAATGATAATAATAATAATGATAATAATAATAATAATAATAATAATGATAATAATAATAATAATAATGATAATGTAATAATAATAATAATAATAATAATAATAATAATTAATAAATAATAATAATAATAATAATAATAATAATAATAATAATAATAATAATAATAATGATAAATGATAATAATAATAATAATAATGATAATAATAATAATAATAAATAATAATAATAATAATAATAATAATAATAATAATAATAATAATAATAATAATAATGATTACAATAATAATAATTATAATAATAATAATAATAATGGTAGTAATAATAATCATAATGATAAAGATAATAATGATAAAGATAATGATAATGATGATAATGATAATGATGATAATGATAATAATGATAATAATGATAATAATGATAATGATAATAATAGAGATATTAATAATGATGAGGATGATAATAATAATGCTGATGACGAGTAATTGCTCAAATATTCATAATCACAACAAATACAGGAACAACAACAGCAATCATAAGATAATGATAATAATAATGATAATAGTAACAATAATAACAACAATGCTGATAACAGGAACAACCATAAGGATGATAATGATAACGATAACAATGATAAGCTAATAATAACTAATAATAAAAATTATGATTATAATGATAAGTTATGATGATGATAACATTGACAATGATGAAAACAAGCATTATAGTCATTACGATAATGATAAGAATGACAATAATGATAATGATAAAATGATCATAAGAAATACAACAATATAATTAACAACCATTAAACTTCCCACTTGTTAACGGAACAGTTAGATATTGCATCTTTCCTTAATAAAAAATGGTTATAGTAAGATTTTCACATTATCAATTCAATTAACTAGTTTATTGCACATGCTGAGCGTATGACGTCTCCGATAATTATTATTACTATGATTTATTTATTCATTTATTTATCTATTTGTTTATTTATTTATTCATTTTACGAGGAATATTAACCAATCTATCTTTTTAAAATATCTAAGATTATGTATATGACTTAATGCACAGAAGTTTTCCCGTGACTTTGTGCAAATTCTTTGGCCTTACGTAACCCTTTTGTGAGTTAGTTCGCCTTTACCTGACCTTGTCTGACCTTACATAACCTGTTGCATAACTCTGTGCAAACTTCGAGTGGAATTGGGGTGGGCTGTAATTACTCTCAAGGTTGTTGCATGTCGTCGCTTTTCGGAATTTGGGCTTGGGTGCGTTGGTGTGAGTGCGTGTGTTTGTTTGTGTGTGTATCTGTTTGTTTGTTTGTTGTGTGTGTGTGTATGTGTGTGTGTGTATCTGTTTGTTTGTTTGTGTTTGTGTGTATCTGTTTGTTTTGTTGTTGTGTTGTGTGTGTGTGTGTGTGTGTGTGTGTGTGTGGTGTGTGTGTGTGTGTGTGTGTGTGTTTGTGTGTGTATGTGTAGGTGTGTGCAAGTATTTGTGTGTGTGTGTGGGGGGGGGGGTGTGTTTGTATGTGTGTGTGTGTGCGTGTGTGTTTGTGTGTGTTGTATAACGTTTATGTGTGTATATATAAACGTTTATGTGTGTGTATGTGTGTATGTAAGTGTTTTCTGTGTGTGTATGTGTAGGTGTGTGCAAGTATTTGTGTGTGTGTGTGTGCGGGGGGGGTTGTAAGTGTTGCATGTGTGTGTGTAAGCGTTTATGTGTGTATGTAAGTGTTTGCCATGTGTGTGTTTTCTATGTCGTTTTTTTTATCCCCCTTTCAAAAACACCCTAATCACACAAAAAAATCACCATCTCTTCTCCCATGACCTGACCTCCTCCCACAGCATTCATCAAGGCCAGAAAAGGTCACGCAGGTCCACGGATTACGACAGCTATTATCTAACAAGCACTGACAAATAAATGGCTGAGAGAGACGGGGCCAAAAAAGTGCTATAATTCCGGACTGCTCACGATCCAGGAATAAAAGATAGGTAAATGATGTTAAGCGGATCTCAAAAGCCGGTTAGGTGTTTGATGTAAAAAAAAAAAAAAAAAAATGGAGACATACATGGAAGCACATGTATACATATATGCATATATATTTACACACATACAGACATATATTTTAGTGTGTGTGTGTGTGTGTGTGTGTGTGTGTGTGTGTGTGTGTGTGTGTGTGTGTGTGTGTGTGTGTGTGTGTGTGTGTGTTTATAGACGCGTATACATACGAACATGCATATATTCATGCATACCTCCTCCTCCTCCTCCACCTCCCTCTCTTCCTTGCTTTCCTTCCTCCTCCTCCACCTCTTACCTCTTCTTTCCCAATCCACCTCCTCCTCCTTCTCCTCCACCTCCACCCTTCCTCTTCCTCCTCCTCTATCTCCTCCACCTCCTCCTTTTCCTTCCCATCCACCTCCTCCAACAACACCTCCTTCTCCCTCCCCTCTCCCCTCTCCATCTCCTCCACCCTCCTCCTCCATCTCCTCCAAACCCTCCTCCTCCATCTCCTCCACCCCTTCCTCCTCCTCCTCCACCTTCTCCTCCTCCTCCTCCACCCACCACCCCACACCTCCTCCTCCATCCCCCCTTTCCCTCCTCCTCCTCCTCCCTCCTCCACCCCCTCCTCCTCCTCCTCCTCCACCCCCCCTCCTCCTCCTCCTCCTCCTCACCCTCCTTCGCTATCGTCTCCTAACCGGCCTCCTTTCTCGAAGCCGAAACAAGGTTTACTGTATTCCTCCCAAACTCGATTATTTACTGAGACCATAAAATGTGACAAAATGGATTACGTGTCCTGCTGTAAAAGGAGGAGGGAGGGAGGGAGGGAGAGGGGGTGGGGGAGGAGGAGGAGGAGGAGGAGGAGGAGGGGTGATTATAGACACGATTGATGGAGATGGGTGAGAAGGAGGAATATTTTGAGAGAGGGTGAATGGGGGGGGAGAGGGAGATAAATAGGAGGGGGGGATTTTGTTGATGCAGCGAAATGTATATACACAGAAGGAAAGATAAAAGACACATACACATTGACACATACACACGCGACACACACACACACACACACACACATCACAACACACACACACACACACACACACACACACACACACACACACACACACACACACACCAGACACACACACACACACACACACACAGACACACACACACACACCAGACACACAACACACACACCCACACACACACACACACACCAACCACACACACACACACACACACACACACACACACACACACACACACACACACACACACACACACACACACACACACACACACACACACACACACACACACACACACACACACACAGACACACACACACACACACACACACACACACACACACACACACACACACACACACACAACACAACACACACACACACACACACACACAACACACAGACAACACACACACACACCAGACACACACACACACACCAGACACACACACACACACCAGACAACACACACAACACACACCACACACACACACACACACACACCACACACACACACACACACACCACACACACACACACCACAACACACACACACACACACACACACACACACACACACACACACACACACACACACACCAGACACACACACACACACCAGACAAACACACACACACCAGACAAACACACACACACCAGACACACACACACACACCAGACACACACACACACACACACACACACACACACACACACACACACACCACACACACACACACACACACACACACACACACACACACACACACACACACACACACACACACACACACACACACACATTGCACACGTCGTACCGTAAAGAAACAAAGCCGAAAAGGGAAACGAAATCCCCCATAAAATTAAACATAATTAAAATGAAATAAAAAATAAATAGTTACCCCTAAAGACAAAATGGGAGCGTAAAAGAAAACGAGCACAGGATAATATAACCCGTACCCTTCTTCCTTTTATGAAATATGACCCACGTATCTCTTTCCTCATATGACCTATGGCCATGTTCTAGGTCGTGTGATGTGTACTGACATGCCAAGCCCATGACACGATTGCAACTCTCGATCATGTTGCTATTATGCAATGATATCGAAACTTTCCAGGAGGAACGTTAGGTTAAGCATAGGTTATCAAGACGCTTTTAACACATATTCTATGAAATTAGTATTAAGTACAGCATTTGGTTTATTTATTCGCTGTGTGGTCGTGCAATAAGGAACAACTGCATATGGAATTGTACTCAGAAAATTGTAGCAATTGACAGATATTTCAAGTCTAGTATGTCCTCTGACAGAAACAACGGATTATTTCTTACACATCTTAACATTTTAGCATTTGTGTTTTTAACTCAAATAATGTAAGCGCATATATATATTGCCTCCTTATGTTGGTGTGTGCGTTTGTCTTTGCGTGTCTGTTTTCGTCTATGCGTGTATGTTTATGTGTGCGTGTGTCTTCGCATGTGCGTCTTTGATGGTTTATCTGCATGTATATGTGTGTGTGTTTGGAAGCGTGTGTGTCTGTCTATGCTTGTATTTCCATGTTTGTGTCTACATTCATACGATTGCACTTAAGTCTGCGTCCTCTGCTTGCATGCATGAATGAGTGGTGTCACAGCGGCTTTGCATCTCTCTGCCTTCGTCCCCGTGCTTGTGTTGTGGGCCCGGCTGTTTGCATAGGCCTACGTACCTCTAAGCCCGCGCGTCTGCCTGCTTCTGTTGCCTGTCTGCCTGTCTGTGGTTCTCTGCCTGTCCGTGGTTCTCTGCCTGCGAAGAGATCAATGGCGGGGGTCGCTGTCTGCCTCGCTAATAAACCGGGACGAAGTTACGGAGATCCGAGTCCCCTTATGGAACGTGAAAGGGGGAGGGGGAGGGGGAGCGAGAGAAGGCGGAGGGAGGGGAAGCGAAGGGGACGGAAGGGGAAGAGGGGTAGGAAGGGGAAGCGAAGGGGGACGGAAGGGGAAGTGGGGGGGGGAGGCTAGGGAAGCGAAGGGGAGGGAGGGGTAGTGTGGGCAGGAAGGAAAAAGAGGGGAAGTGTGGGAGGGAAAGGGGAAGCGGGAGGAGGGGAGGAGAGGTCTGAGAAGGGAGAAGAGAGTGGGAGAATGGAGGAGGGATTAAAAGAAAGGGGAAGGGGAGGTGGATAAGGAGAAGGGACATTAACGAGGGGGGGGGGGGAGTTGAAGAAAGGTGATAAGGCAAACGAAAGAGAGGGGAGGAGGAGGGAAGAAGGGGGAAGATTATCGAGAAGACGGATGAGAGAAGAGGGGAGGAGGAGAAGGAGGAGGGAGAGGAATAAAAAGAAGATGAATGACGGAGGACTTAGGGGGAGGAGAAAATGGAATGAGAAGAAGACGAAGGAGGGAGGAATGAATGAGGGGAAGAGGAATGTGGAGAAGGCGGGGAAAGAACGAAGGAAGGAGGTGGAGGTGGAGAAAGAAGAGGAGGAGGAGAAAGAGGAAGAGGAAGAAGAGGAGAAAGAGGAAGTAGTAAGAGAGAGAGAGAGAGATAAAGAGAAGATGCAGGGAGGACGAGAGGAGGTGGTGGTGGAGGAGGAGGAGGAGAAAGAGGAAGAGGAAGAAGAGGAGAAAGAGGAGGTAGTAAGGGAGAGAGAGAGAGAGAGATAAAGAGAAGATGCAGTGGACGAGAGGAGGAGGTGGAGGTGGAGAAGGAAAAGGAGAAGAAAGAAGAAGAGGAAAAAGAGGAGAAAGAGGAGGTAGTAAGGGAGAGAGAGAGATAAAGGAAATATGCAGGGGGGACGAGAGGAGGAGGTGGAGGTGGAGAGATAGAGAAAGAGAGAGAGAGAGAGAGAGAGAGAGAGAGAGAGAGAGAGAGAGAGAGAGAGAGAGAGAGAGAGAGAGAGAGAGAGAGAGAGAAGAGAGAGAGAGAGAGAGAGAGAGAGAGAGAAAGAGAGAGAGGGGGGAAGAGAGAAAGAAAAAAGAGAGAGAGAGGGAGAGAGAGAGAGAGAGAGAGAGAGAGGGAGGGGGGCGTTACAGGCTGACGAGAAAGCGTAGGAGGCAGATCTTACAACGAGAGAACGAAAGAGGGATGAAGCAACTCAACGATAGGGAGAGGAAGACATAGACAAGATAAATGAGTGTACGAAGAAGAGGAGTAAAGAAAAAAAATGAGACAAGAGATATGATAAATGAGCCTAGTACGACTCACGTATGAATCATCAAAGAGAGAAGAAAGGAAGAGAAAGTGAAATATAGATAAAGAACATGAACAGATAAAGAGATGTATAAAAGAAACCGAAAGAGATACAGATGAATAGATTAATAAAAAAGAAAAAAGAAAAAGAAACCGAGGGAGATACATATGAATAGATCAATAAAAAAAGAAAAAGAAAAAGAAAGAAAAAAAAAACAGAATTATAGATATATAATCTAATTTATATTTTACTCCCAAAACAAAACGTTTATTCCTTGCAAATACTGTTTAATCGTTTTATGATTGTGTAATATTCCTAAGTTGGGTTGAGATTCGCTATCTAAATTCCTTTTCTTATCTTTTCATATTCTTATTGTTTTATTTCCTTTTCAGATTGTTCTTCTTATTATTATTTTTACTCTTAAGCCTATCGCTTTTGTTATCATTATTGTCATTACAATAATTACTTGTATTATCACTATCACCATTATCATCATTAACGTCATTATTGTTGATATTATTATTATTTTACTGTTATCATTATTATCCATACTATTACATCTACTACTGTTATAAGTTCCTATTATCATCCTCATTATTATATTATATTTCATTATCAACATTATCATTATTATTATTATTATTATTATTATTATTATTATTGTTATTATTATTATTATCATTGTTGTTGTTGTTGTTACCATTATCATTATTGCTCTCATCATTATTCTTATCATCATCATTACTGTCATCACCTTTGACCCTATCATTATCATCATTATCATCTCCCCTTTCTCTCCCTCCACATATTCCAACTTCCCTCTTCAGTCATCCCCTTCATTCTCAAATTTCCTCCTCCCCCATTTTCTTCCATATTTTTATTTATCTAACCCAATTTCCTTCTCAGGCATTTCCCGTTTTCTTTTCACCTCTAGAACCATCGACATCAGCCTCCCCTTCATTCTCAAAGTTCCCCGCTTTCCCATTTTCTTTCATTATTTTTAAAAACCCATTTTCCTTCTCAGGCATTTCCCGTTTTCTTTTCACCCCCAGAACCATCGGCATCAGTCTCCCCTCTCATTCTCAAATCTCCCCGCTTCCCCATTTTCTTTCATATTTTTTTAAACCCATTTTCTTTCTCAGGCATTTCCCGTTTTCTTTTCACCCCCAGAACCATCGGCATCAGTCTCCCCTTTCATTCTCAAATCTCCCCGCTTCCCCATTTTCTTTCATATATTTTTTTAAAACCCATTTTCTTTCTCAGGCATTTTCCCGTTTTCTTTTTCACCCCCAGAGCCATCGGCATCAGTCTCCCCTTTCATTCTCAAATCTCCCCGCTTCTCCATTTTCTTTCATATATTTTTTTAAAACCCATTTTCTTTCTCAGGCATTTCCCGTTTTCTTTTTCACCCCCAGATTCATCGGCATCAGTCTCCCCTTTCATTCTCAAATCTCCCCGCTTGCCCATTTCTTCATATATTTTTTTAAAACCCATTTTCTTTCTCAGCATTTTCCCCCGTTTTCTTTTTCACCCGCAGAACCATCGGCGGGAACGTGCTTTGGTCCCTCGAAAAGGCCATTAAGTGGTGCGTGAAGAGGGAGTATATACACATTGATTCTACTCCATTCTACTCCTTCTCTCGCTACTCCGGTGTCTCGCTCGGTCTCGGACTCGGTCTCTCCTCGTCCTGGTTCAAGAAAGCGGCCAAGTCGAGGTGATTTATATATATTTTTTCTTTTGTTATGATCGTTTTTATTTCTTTATGTTTTGATTTATCATTTTTTATTCTGTTTTTTTTATGATCGTTATTTAATTTTATTATTATTATTTGTTAAATTCTATTGTAACTTATTGATGTTGATGTTGCTGTCGTTATTATTATTATTATTATTATTATTATTATTATTATTATTATTATATTATTATTATTAGTTATTATTATTCGATTATTATTATTATTATTATTATTATTATTATTATTATTATTATTATTATTATTATTATTATTTATTATTATTTCTTTACTTACCTGGATTATTGTCATTAGTAGTTGTAATGATTATGATATATAGTAATAATTATCTTTTTATTAATATGATCATTAATATTATCTCGTCCTCAGCTTCATCTTCATCCCTCTCGTCCTTATCAACATCATCATTACATCATTATCATTATCACCACTATCATCAGCATTATCCATCATCACCATCATTATCATAACGATAATCATCATCCATCATTATCATCACCATCATCATCATCACCATAATCACCACCATAATCATCATCATTATCATCACCATCACCATCGCCACATCATTATTTATTATCCTTCACCGTTTTCGTTTTTAATTGGACGAACAACCTATTTATTCCTTTCTTTTATTGGCTCAAGCCCCCCCCCCCCCAGCCCCTCCCCCCCGCCCCCCAGCCCCTCCCCCCCGCCCCACCCCACCCCCCCAGCCCCTCCCCCCCCCCCCCCCCCTCCACCCCACCCCCCTTTTCACCATTTCCTACGCTTCCTGACCATCTTCCTGCTTCGCTGTTTCCGCTTTATTCATCTGCCTTCGTCTTCCCCCTTTCTCTCTCCTATGCCTATCCAAGACACGCTCTCTCCCTTCACTCTTTCGCTCCTTTTCAGTCTGTTTCTCTGTCTCTTTCTCTTTCTCTCTCTCTCTCTCTCTCTCTCTCTCTCTTCTCTCTCTCTCCTCTCTCTCTCTCTCTCTCTCTCTCTCCTCTCTCTCTCTCTCTCTCTCTCTCTCTCTCTCTCTCTCTCTCTCTCTCTCTCTCTCTCTCTCTCTCTCTCTCTCTCTCTCTTCTCTCTCTCTCTCTCTCTCTCTCTCTCTCTCTCTCTCTTCTCTCTCTCTCTCCTCCCTCTCTCTCTGTCCTCTCTCTCTCTCCCCCTCCTCTCCCACCCTTTCTCTCTCTTTTGTGTGCAGCCAATCCCATTCCCTTTAAACTTGTAACTAAAACCTCCTTTTGATTCCACACTCCCAACCTTCACTTAATCTCCCTGCCTATAAAAGTATCCATCTCACACCCCCCCCCCCCCTAACCCCCCCCTCCTACTATCTCTTTTGGCTCTCCTTCCCCCAGCTGACTCCTCTTCCCTCAGCTGTCGTCTATTATGATTCCTCTTCCCCCTCCTGTCGCTCCTTCTGGCTACTTTTCCTTTCTCTATTGTCCCTTATGATTCCTCTTCCCTCTCCTGTCTCCCCTTCTGACTCCTCTTCCCTCTCCTGTCTCCCTTTCTGACTCCTCTTCCCTCTCCTATTGCCCCTTATGACTCTCCTAATACCCATTCTTACTCCTCTTCCCTTTCCTATCGCCCCTTCTGACTCCTCTTCCCTCTCCTGTCGTCCCTTCTAACTCCTCTTCTCTCTTCTATCTTCCCTTCTGACTCCTCTTACGTCTTCTATCTCCCCTTCTGACTCCTCTTCCCTCTCCTGCCGTCCCTTCTAACTCCTCTTCTCTCTTCTATCCCCTTCTGTCCTCTTCCCTCTCCTGACTCCTCTAACCTCTTCTATCTCTCCCCTTCGACTCCTCTTCCCTCTCCTGCCGTCCCTTCTAACTCCACTTCCCTCTCCCGTCTCCCTTTCTGACTCCTCTTCCCTCTTCTATCACCCCTCCTGACTCTCTTCCCTCTCCTGTCCTCCCCTTCTAAACTCCTCTTCTCTCTTCCCCCTTTGTCTCCTCTTCCCTCTCCTGACTCCTCTTCCCTCTTCTATCTCCCCTTCTGACTCCTCTTCCCTCTCCTGTCGCCCTTTCTGCCTCCTTCTACCTCCACGACTCCCATGACCTGTACCCCTTCCTCTGGTTCCCGACTCACTCAGGTAAATCTTATTTAATACAGGTAGTCCCTTATTCCCACCATGAGACAGGCAAAACCTCATTTCCTCACTGACTCGCCCGCCAGCCAGTGAATCTTGTCCAGGAGAATGTTCTACTTTCCTCGTCTCATAATTCACACTTACTCATTTACTCACAGTGAGATTCATCACTGTTGAATTAGTATCTGATACTCATTCTGTAATTCTCATATTACTCACAACTCACATTCCAGTGGAGCTCTCGTCAATTTGCAATGACTCATCTGGGGGATCTCCCTCACTCAGTATTCATTTCATTTCTTTTACTCATCTCTCATACTCAACACTAACATGGTCGCGCCCTTACCTTACCCATGAATATATTGTCTTTCCAATCCTAAAACCCAAGCATGTGGATCTCTTACTCACCGCCTTTACTCACTCTTCGTACTCAACACCAAGCCGATCGCTTCCTCAACTTAACCATGAGTAAAATTAGTTAACCTCCAGCCTCTAATATCCGATCGCATCATTAACTTACCCATGAGTAAATTACATGTTTCTCCAACCCTAAAACCCACTCACGTAGACCTCTTACTCACCGCCCTTACTCATCCCTCATACTCAGCACCAAGTCGATCGCCCTTACTCAGTAGTAAGCCGATCGCTCGTTTAACTTACCCATGAGTAAATTACATGGATTTCTTACTCACCGCCCTTACTCATCTCTATTCCACATTCAGGACCAACTGATCTAATCATTAACTTACCCATGAGTCACATGTCTCCAACCCTAACCCATCCCGTAGACCTTTTATCAACGCCCTTACTCACTCCGCCAGATTCAGCTGGACTCTTACTCATCTCTTACTTCACAGATTCAGCCGGACTCTTACTCATCTCTTACTCATAGATTCAGCTAGAATCTTGCTCATCTCTTACTCACAGATTCAGCTGGATCTCTTACTCACAGAGTCAGCTAGAACTCTTCCTCATCTCTTACTCACAGATTCAGCTGGATCTTTGACATCTCTTACTCACAGATTCACCTAGAACTCTTACTCACAGAGTCAGCTGGATCTCTTCCTCATCTCTTACTCACAGAGATCTCAGCTCTTCCTCATCTCTTACTCCAGAGATTTCAGCTGGATCTCTGACTCATCTCTTACTCACAGATTCACTAGAAATCTTTAGAAATCTTCCTCATCTCTTACTCACAGATTCAGCTAGAACTCTTCCTCATCTCTTATCTTCACTAGAAATCTAGAACTCTTCCTCATCTCTTACTCACAGATTCAGCACCAACATGATCGTGTCCCTCGCCGTCCTCAACTTCGTCACGAGTCAGATTGGCGTCGTCGTGCACAAGTCCCTCTCGCCGGCCATGTTTGGGTGGTATGTGGCGGAATTCACTCTCAACTGCACCGTGACCTTCATGCTGGTGGCCGCCCTTCCGAATTTCGTCAGGGTCGTGTACACTGCACGCGCGGGCGACAAGTACAAGAAGAAGTGAAGAGATGGGCGGGTGTGGGCGTTTGGTGACTGTTTCGGGGGAGGGTTTTTTTGCGTGTTCGAAGTGCGAGAGTGTGGAGTGAGGACTTTGTTGTTGTTGTTCTTTCTTTTGTTCTTTCTCTTTATCTTATTTTTTTCTATGTGTTTTTTTTCTTCCTTTTTCTTTTTTCACTTTTTTTTAA